ACGGGGACACATGTCAAGCATTCAACGACCGAGGGGTCACATCAACTGGGTGTCACTGGCATTCGCATGTGGCCGCATTTAATGCGGCGGTTGGATGTGACGTTGTACTTGGTACGGCGATCCAGGCGCATGTGGAGAGAATATTCTTGTCGAGGAAGGTACCCTCGGCTGTAGATGATTAGCCGAGGGCTCTTCTTGTCGAAGGCCTCTTAAGGCCGAGGACTCCAGGCGCCGAGGGCTACTGATTTTCGCCGTTTTCTCCCAGTAGCTTTGTATGCTAAAAATAGCCTTTCTGTGAGAATTTGGAGCCTTCGGCCAGGGGGCTGAAGGCACCCCTGTGTGCTCCATGGGTTGCTTGGTACCCGGGGCGCTGCGATTTGGGCCTGCTGTGCTTTCTGGGCCTCTTGGGCTTTTATTAGGATAGCAGGAGTCTATGAGTCGGGGGTCCCTGGGCCATATACTCCATCATATAGTAAAACTGAGTCAGAAATCAATGACGTGTCACTTTCCATCAGTTACTACTACTTTTTTTGATAATCCAGGTGTCGGGGCTTACGCTCCCATAATCCTGGAGTCTATGAACTACCCTCAAAAACCCCTAGACAGTTAAATCCGGATCTGATCACAGTCAGCCTTGTCAGTACTAGCTCCAAAGAACGAATCCAGCAGGACTTACATCACCTTTCAGGCTGCTCCTCCCACCACACGAACCCGCTACCTTCATTACCATCCTTTCCCTTCTCAACCGCTGAGCAGCTCCGCGAAGGTAGGAAGAATCATTGGGAGCAAGACCTCCCTCACCTCCCCTTTGTGAGAATTGAACCCAAGACCTCCCACAAAGGAGAGACTTGAGGGTAAATGATCCTCAATGGACTACACTCACCTTCTCTCAGTTACTACTATTTTAACACTATGCAGAGTTGCAAAAATAATACTATTCGGACACTATTATAACTTTATTCTGAGCGTTTAAGTAATGTTATTATTATCACTCATTATTCTTATAATAAATCTAATTGTCTTTTAATCTTTAAATTTAGGTATTAAATTAAATGTTTATCACAATCAAATCTAATTTTTAGTGTTCAATTCTTTTAGCACATACAACACTATTAACTTTTCAATTAAAAAGTGTTCATTATTATGGTCATAGAGATCAATATTTTGAGAATTTCAATCCAGCAAATAGAGTATTAAACAAAGTCATTTGGTAAACAAAAAACTCAATAGTTAGACTTATCATACAAATTTTTTCTAATTCACTCAATCTTAAGACTATCATCTATGTACAAAGTAATATTCGTGCAACAAACAAAAGTCATCTAAATAAAGAGCTACCAGTTATTATTTTCCCTTTCTGAAAGAAAGTAAAATGCTTTTATCATCTAAATTGTGGGTTAATTAATATCTAATTCATACTAAAATAAAATGTTTTATTACATGCGAGATTTCAGTTTCGAATTGGTTTAACCCTCCAAAATTGAGTATAAAGAGGGCGACAAGATGACTTCACAATTTGGTGACGAGTAATAACAAATATTTTATTATACATCTATAGCTCACTTAGGTGTGTACACGGATCATGAATTGATTTTTGTCTTAAAAATTGAAAACCAATTTCCATTAATAATAGAGAGGTTAACACAATGCAATAACACTCACAAATGTGAAGATGACATTTTTCTTCAATAGTATCACAAAATACTAATCAATCGATTGTTTGACATAGAAGAGGTAAATAATTACCATTGTACACTATTAATGCAACAAATTTTTATTTCATATATATTAGACTAATGTATCCAAATATTATTTGAGATTTTGTTTCAGATTAAAACTGTTATTAACAAATTTGGTGGATATAACAAAAATAATCTTATTCCTAAAAAATATAAAAGAAATTTGTAAATAATTTACAACATCGATTAATATTTATCATTTGAATTCATATTAGTGTGACACTACCGGGGCATGCCCCGAGTGTTACACTGGTAAATTCATAAATTGTAGCAGAATGAACCGGTCTAGCCAATTTTATAAGGACTTCAGTCATTTTTCACAGGAGATCACACCATAGTTATGATTTGGCTTTGATATTATGTCAAAATTAGAAATTTTTTCCTACGAGTCAACCTTATATGAGGAATAGTCTAACATCTTAATATAACACTTTATTATTCCATATTTATCATTGTACGCCTTCAACATCTCATCCAACTTGAAGAAATAACCGTTTACACAAGTTACTCATTCGGTCACAACAAACTTGCGGAAAATTTTAGGAGAAATTTGACTTTAAACTTCATATCCAGATGATGTTAGACTTTGCACCTTAATTTATACTGCGTAAGTCAACATGTGTACGCCATCACCCTAACAAATGTAAAGGAATAAAGTGCAAAGTCAAATGATTTTATGATGAATGAAGTACACACATTAATGATTTTGAAAATGAGATACACTATGTAAGTCTGGTTCGGTCAAAGTTTTAACTTAATAGAGCATGCATGGAAGTCATCAACCTCACAAGTCACAACCAAGAAAATCAATGTCACATGCTACTAAACTCCCATACTCCCTCTGTCCCAGATTGATTTGCAAAGTCAACATTTTTTGGTCAATTAATTTTAAAGTAAAATCCTCCATATTGATAATTAATTTAATTTTTAATAATTAAAATTTACATATTCAGAAACTACGTTAAAACATCTTCAAAGTTGCAAACTTGAAACTAGAATATAATAAAAAATTGACATCCTGATTAAACGAAAATATGAAAAAGTTTGACAAAGAAAAATCAATTTTGTAAATCAATTTGGAACGGAAGTATTAGTATACTCGTATTAATTAACTAGACCAATATGAAACGGATAAAACTCAAACAAACGAGATTGTATTGAAACAAACGTAAACGTGTTAGACCAATTTCAAATCGAATAGGACAAGCCGAAACCAACACAATTCTAATCCAGGCAAATGAACTTTTTACGCAACTTAATTATTCAGTCAGGACAAAATTCACATGAGATTTTAACTCAGTGGAGTATGCATGAAGAATCCAATATCATTGTTGATGTTGCTAAGCTCGCGTTAGATTACCACCCAAAGTTATATGGTGGAAATTCACGAGCTTATGTGACGATCTCGTAATAGTACAAGACCTTATTTGACCATTTTCAACCTTTTATTATTACTACACAATTCAGCGAGTGGAATCCAAAGTCACGCGTTTGATGAAAAAGTTAGCTGATAAATCGAAAAAACAGGATCACCAAACGACCCAAGTCTATTCGAGTCTTGAGTATTGATGTGTATGCAAATACGAAAAGAAATTGATGTGTGTGTACACACAGAGGCTCGATCTAATCAAAGTCAAAACACATACCCTATATTATCTTTCAAAGTATATTTGTCACGTGAAATAAAATAATGAGATTTGTGTGATCAGTGATGGATAATCGTGCAGAGTAGAGAGAAACATATATGAATGCATAATAAATAATGTGAACCACAACTTTTTACCAAAAAAATAAATGAAAGATTATTTTGGGGTGGACGAAAAATGAAATTTGAAAGATAATTAAAAAGCCAAGGGAGTATGAGATTTCACAAAATATTCATTTAAAATAGCCTGATCATGATATTATACTCAATATTACTCGTAATAATTTCGTTCATATTTTTGTAAATAAATTATACTCTCTCCGGTCCTAAATAAACTTCACACTTTCCTTTTTAGGTAGGTCCAAAATAAACTTCACACTTCTATATTTGGAAAGTTTTTAATATAAAGTTATCCTTATACCCTTACTTTATTACCACCTACCTTCTCTCTCCCACTACACTTTATTTACTTTTTGTAGGGGTATGGTGGGAAAGTCAAAACAAAAAGTTCAAGTTTCTTAAAAACCGTAAAATCAAACCATGAAGATTATTTAGAACCGGAGGGAGTACTTTAATACCACCTCCGCCCCAATAGGAGGACGCGAGTTATTAAGAAAAATGAGTTTAGGTGGTTGATTTTAAATCGATAAAATATGAATAAATTAAGAATGATTTAGAATCTCACAAATTTTACAAAATTTGATATGAAACATTCCTAATGAGATTTCCTGAAAAGTTAAAATGAGATCATCTTAACGGGGAAATAAAGGGTAATATTGTTTTAGAATAAATAAAATTGAACTCTGTTGTGAACTTATTAGATTGATGGGTTTGGACTTTGGATGCAACTTTCACTGCTATGTCATAACAAAAAATTTGTTTGTATCATTTTTGTGTCCACTCCCTATTTTGTTTGTGCACACATGAATTCTTTAAGAATAAGGTATTGTTTTATCTGTATTTGTATGTGTACACAGACAAAATAGGAGATGTGTATGAATGTGTGTAAAAAAAAATGGTACCCGCACAGGTAGCTCAGTTGGTTCAGTGGTGGGAAATTTGGACCGAGTGACCAAGGTTCGAAACCCGCAGCGGCCGTGTGGAGGTCACAGAACTTGAAATAAGACTGGGCCTCTGGTGCGGACGGGAAAAAGGCCTACCATCATTGGTCCGACTGAGTCACCGTGATTAACATCCTCCCAAAAATCCTGTCGGGTCGGGGTATGGGGCTCCTAGGGTGGGAGATTCCACCTTTTTGGACCAAGTGTAAAAAAATGTTAAAATGCTAAAGGTACCCTAAATTTGTACCCCATTTTTACCCCACCCTAAAAAGCACTCATGTCATAATCCGTGATCAGTTCTTAAAAGGTGACAACTCCGGTACCTTTCTAAAAAATGAGGTACCGTACCTATCATTAATTTGATTGGATCACATCACTTTATCATTTTTAATTTAGATTTAAATAATTCAACTGCTACATTCTCATTGGTCCATGTGGACAAAGGTATGGTACCTTATGGGTACCATAGAATCTACCTTCTTAAAAATGGAGCTCTTGAATCTACTTTAACGTGTACGTTGCCCAGTTAACCAGCTCAGCTGTAAAGGGACCCACTACAAACCTCACCTAAACAGATATAGACCGATCCCGTTCGATGACCCACTCACTTCTCTCTCCCCTCTTCAATCTCTCTCCCTGTGCATAGAGAGAGAGAGAGAATCTTAGAGAGAGGTTCGGCTGTTCGAGACTTCCGTTCTGCAATGGCGTTCTTGTCTTTCCTCGGGAGATTACTCTTCGTCTCCGTATTCATTCTCTCCGCGTACCAAGAGTAAGCTCTGATGTTCTCCGACTTCTCCCTTCCGATGTACTTTGTGTAAGCACATTTGAACTGTATTTGAATTTGTGGCGTGGTACGCTTATGCTATGAGTATTGGCGTACCACGGTCAATTAATCACTTTTTTGAATTGTTGAACATGGAATGTAGAGTTTTTTTTGATCAATAGTATGCTATTATAACTGTGAGCTCTCATTTGGACTCTGAGTAGCTTTAGGCTGCATTTTCACAAGTTTGCGGGGAGTTATTTCACTCAATCACTGGCATATGGATTTTACTCTATATCATGCTTTGTAAGATCAGTAATGTAAGCTCTTGTTTGATTGTGCTATGGGCTGGAGGGGAGGATTTATATTTGTTTTCCTAAGTCATCTTTATCTGTTAGTCATTGATTAGTTAGATCTTGTATTTTCTGTATACACACTTCTCCTTCACTTTCTTCCTATCAAATTATCAATCCAAATATAAGAAATAAATAATAAAATAAATATCACCACCCCGCCCCTCTAAAGTTTCCCCAACCAAATACCCCGTTAGTGCTAAAAAGTCGTAGGCGATCTGCTTACTGTCTGAACAAAATTAGAAATGACTTCATCTGAACTCTCCAAATGCTCAAGGTGGCTTTCAGTTACTTTACTAGTTAGTATGTACTCTGCTTAAAGTTACTTGCTTCACCATGCGCTTTGCTTTCCTTATTCTTAAGTCTAACTTTTAATCTTTTATCAATCTGTAATTCATTTTTTTCCTGTTAGATATCTCCTTCTGCCCTTCCATTCTGAGAATTTATGAAATCTTATGAGTTATGACTGTGTTTTCGATTTCATATTCTTTTTTTGCTCAATGAGATTGTTAACTCTACAACTCAATAAGTGTTTACTTTCATGGTTGTAGGTTCAATGAATTTGGTGTTGATGGTGGGCCAGCTGCAAAGGCATTGAGACCCAAGTTCAACGTTTTCTCAAAACATGTTGGAACACACACGGGCCTTCATATTCCTAATATTGAGGTCATTTGGTAACACTCGAATTGGCTTCATCTGCTGAAATTGGTGAAAGTTTGGTTGAGTTTCCTGAATTATAAAAGAATTATATTTAAAATATATTGTATTAATAAAATAAAGAAAAATTATATGAAAATAGCTAAAACAGTCCTATTCATCATAAAATAACCTTACACAATTGTGTACACGCAATCAAAAGTTATGTGATTGGTAAAAAATGTCTGATAAGAATGATAAACCGAAAACATGGGTTATCAAACGGGCTTTTAATGTTTTTCATTCATAATATTATTTAATGGTTTTATGCATTACTAAGTACTAACGTTACTTATTCCTCAAACTTATATATATACAGATGAAACATCTTGTCATGGTGGCTATCATTATGAGAGGAGTCGGAAGCTTTCTATTTGTATTTGGCAGCTCTCTTGGAGCTTATATACTAGTATGTGCTTTCATGATTGATGTGCTTTGGCCTTTGAGTCACTCTTTCTCTCTAATTCACATAGAAAGATTTTTGCCTTATGAACTTTTATCCTTCCATTAACTTTACATGGAGTTAAAGCAAATGAAGTTTTGCGGAATTAATATCAACCACACAATTCTTTCCTCAAAAGTAAACAACAAGATCTTTTTGGGATGGGCCAAAAGGAAAGAGAGAATTTGCTTTTGGAATATGGCTTTGAATATTTCTATTTCTTGTTCCAGCTTTTTCATCAGGCAATCCTTACCCCAATCATGTATGATTTCTACAACTATGATGCTGACAAGAAAGAATTTGCTCTACTTTTTGTTAAGTTTACACAGGTAAGCTACGACTCTGTGATTGATTATCTTCTTTGGAAGTGGAACGAAGAAAGGATATTTGTATTTGAGGAACTAATTCATTTGTAATCAACTTAATAGTGACACCTTTTTTTTCTGGCAGGGTTTGCAACTCTTTGGAGCATTACTGTTTTTCATTGGCATGAAGAATTCAATGGCAATAAGTCCTGCGAAGAAAGCTTTGAAGACAAAAATTAATTGAGTGTCTGTACTAGTTTCACTTTTGATGCATATTTTTACAGACTTTATTTTTGGTTGCATTCTGGTGGTTTGCATATTGTTCTTTTTTATAATTAATTGTTGTTCATGTAGCGCTTTCACATTGTCTTGATGAAATTGTAAGTTTTGCAGAAGTGGCAGTAATATATGCTCAAAATGGATATTGAAGATCTTACTGCAACCAATTGACTTTTACAAAATCACTTGGTTGAGTTGGTTCATAACTAATCTGTTTAACAGCTCTTGCTATTGCATCCACTTTTAACGTTTATAGAAGGTAAGAGCCTAAGAGCCTAAGAGGTACAACCGGATGTAATTGCACTCTAGTTAACTCAGCATGCCAAGAAAATTACACAAGCATAGATGCCATCTAACATTTTAGGCTTTTAGCCCATTTATTGCAAAAGCACAAATACTATTAAAGGCCAACTATATACATATACACAAAAAAAAGATGACACCCATCCCTGAGGGGCGAGGGCCCACCAACCCCGACCGGATTGTACGTTCGGAGGATGTAAATCGGACTATAATCATAATCTGACAGATAGAGAGTGAGGTTCTGTACCCACCGATTACATATACACATTTCTTCCAAGTGACGATGAAGGAAATGATTGAATGAGAAGCGACATTACACATTTGAGAGGTTACTCTTGGACTCTCGGTACGCAGAGAGAATGAATAAGAGATGAAGATTGTACAACATTTTTACGTTTTGAAGATTGTACAACATTTTTTTACCAAATATGAGTATATCCACAAATATGTATGTAACATGTCATTGTACGGACGTTTTTTACTTGGACTATAATTTGTTGGTCTGGTAATCTGGTTTGATCTGTTTAAGTCTGATCTGATCTGTTTAAGTCTAGTCTAGTCTGGTAAATGTCTGATCTCTGTGTATATTATAACTATTAAAGTCTGGTCTGGTCTTTTTAAGTATGATTTATTTAAATCTGGTCTAATATGAAATTGAAAACATTTCTAATTAACTACCCATTTTGAATTTTAAAGACAATGCGTAAAAATAGAAATAGAACTAAGAAATATTTGCACAACCTCGATAAGCTTTTTCCACACTCAATGGATTTAAATAACTCGTGATGGAGTGGATATAATCTAATAGGTGAGTAAAAAATCAAATAATGATAATATATTATCAAATTACCAAAATTCCAGACCCGTGATATTAATAAAAATAAAGTGCATGCAATTCGTCGGCATCAATAAAAATTAATCAGTTTTTTCTAAAGACAAGTGATTCATAATCAGTATGATGCATCTTTTTTGTTATTGATAATAGTCTAAAGATCTTAGAAAGAAATCACTGAGGATTACAAATTATACTCGGGTATACAAACTAACCATCAACTACACATAACGTTTTCCATAAAGGGAAAATACTATTTGGTAAATAAAGAAATCTCTGAAATAGAAACGTTACATATAACGACATTTTGAGTTAGCGTTTTTAAATATGACATTACTTACTACTCTGTAATTGTTAAGGCTAAATGGGTAAGTTATATCAAACATTATTTTGCTACCCGCCAACTTATTTTGATAGTCAAATTCATTGGCTGAAAACACAATAAAAAACCTATCAACAACTCCTAATATAATCCAATAACCGTTAACTGCTAAATGTCAAACACACTCATCATACATTACTTGTTTAATCATAAGATTTGAAAAATTAAGTGATGCCTAATGTGAATATCAAGTAATTAATATAAATGGTGTGATTTTATGTAATCCATTTTTTGTCAATCTTTGATCCCTTTATTTTCGCGACAACAAATAAAAAAGAACCACGAACAAATGCTTACATCGATCAAAAGATAATAGATTAATAGGTACCCCGTAGTCCGTACTACTCAAAAACTATTTGAAAATCATTAAAAACGAAAATAGGGTAAACCATTTGGTTATGTTCCACAAGACAATCCGTATCAAAGGAATACTACCTCGATCTGTCTAAAGAAAAGCTATCATTTTTTTACCATGATCCAAATACTTTTATATTATAAAGTACATTTCTCATGAGATATGAATCAAGGTTATTTAGAATAATCGGTTAAATGACTGGACTCATTGATTTTTTAATTTATCATTTATCATATGTAACTTATTTGCGAGTTTTTTTTAATACTTTACACATTGAAAGATCAGAAAATAATAACAAGAATGTTAGCTGAAAAATAATCTGAAGCTTCACACTGGAAACCCAATCTGTTTTTTAATCGAACCATTTAATATTTTAGTCATTTAGGCCTTGTTTGGTTAAAAGAAGGGGAGGGAAGGGAAGAGTCAAGGAGGGAAGGGAAGGGAAGGGGAAGGAAATATTTTAATAAAAAATTGTGTTTGGTTGGAGGAAATAGGAGGAAAGGTTTAAAAAAAAATCGCAATTTAATTTTATTTGATAGCTTACTTAAAAAAATAGACACATGTCTAACTATTGTGAATATTACTCCTATGGTCATGAGTAATGATTTTATTTTATTTGATTTTTTACTTTTTTAATTTTATAATTTTTCATTTTTCAGTTTGGAATTTAATTTTTAATTTTTAATTTTTTTTATTTTCAATTTTTTAATTTTTAATTTTTAATTTTTAAATTTTTTAATTTATAAAATTTTTAATTTTTTAATTTTTAAATTTTTTAATCAATAAATTTTTAATTTTTTAATTTTTCAAAACTTTTTGTTTTTTACCTTTTTATGTTATAACGTTTTGTTCATTCACGTAAGAGATGGATAATTTGTGATTATCAACACGTTTCCTCCGAAATACCCCGATATGGGGGGTTTAGAATGGAAGGAAGTAGAGGATTTTGAAAGTCTTCTACTTTCCTCCCCTCCCCCATATTTCCTTCAACCAAACACACACAAATCCCCCATTTTCCTCCCCTCCCCTCCTAAACCCTCCAACCAAAGAGGGCCTTAAGGTACATCTCTTTTCACTAATTAATTCAGTTGAACTACTTTGCTCTTCACAATCATACGAGACAAGTTTCGAATAGATCTTTGGAAAAATTAGGATTTGATTTGATCATAATTATTAATTCAACCTTATATTTTAAAAAGTCAACTATCTACCTAGCTCCTAAGTTTAGATGATATCCTCATTCTGTTAACATTTTCGTCAAAAACCAATGGTGCAACTACAAGCACTGCCAAATAGTCATTTCTTTGACTAAAATACCCATGTTTATGAATTATTTGTTAAATTTCTTCATCTACGTATCTTTCTTCAAATAAATGGTTGAGCCAAATATAAGTTTTAACCAAGTACATTAGATAGAAAAGGGTATTTTTATTTAGGGCTAATTTGGTAAAATAAAAATTGTCTGAAGAAGTTGAGTTGGTTGAATATGCTAAATTTATGAAAATATATATATACTCCCTCCGTCCCAATTTAAGTAGCCATCTTTGACTTTTCCAGTCAAAGATGGTAAACTTTGACCAATTATTTAAACTAATATATTTATGCAAAATTTAATAATTTTATACTTTAATTTTATGATAGTATTTTTAACAAAGAACATTTTCATATCATTTTCATATTATTAATACTTTCTCCATATGAACATATAATCAATCAAAGTTAGCCTCCATTGATAGAGGGAGTACAATATTTCATTAATAGAATAAAAAATGAAGATAGCTAAAATAACGATTTTAGCAACTTCAGCCAAAAAAGTAATAGCTATCTTACTTGAATAGATTTCATGGAAATGACAAGTTGGATAAATCACCAAAAAAGCAACTACTATCTAATTTACTTTGATTATTAGATAATTCAACACGCAAAGTCAAAAGTTATATATTTGATACAGAGTAAACAATATATGATGAAGCTAATAAGTACAAAACAAATTCTAATTATCAAATTTGGCACGAGAAACTAATTGTAGAAGAATCGGCAAACCACTGTAATAATTTTTGAAATAATGACATATATATGACCAAAATGAATATTATTTACACAAATGTAATTAATGACTAGAGAAGTAATGAGACTATATATAGTAATTTATATTCAATTTTTAAACTTAAGTTACTATGACACTAGATTGTAGTAACTAATAGTTTTATTGGTTTAAATTGATTTTATTTTAGTAATATTTTTGAAAAAAACATCAATTTTTTCCTTTCAAATTGATAATCATTTTAAAAAACACGTGACTTATCACATCAATACATAAAGTATTATCAAAGATTTGTATTTTACTTTTACATTTAAATGGTAATTTCTTAAATTTAAGAATGTGATATCAAACTATTACTCTCATAATACTCTCATCGTGGCACAAAACTTGGTCAAAGTTGAATTGAAGTTAAATATTTAGTTGATTAATATATAGTTGATTAAATTTGGTCGAATATTTAGTTGATTAATATGGTTGGTTTCGAAAGTGATGCTTACTGCTCGTTAAATTAAATGCTTACGTAGTACTCCGTATTAAAGTTCTTGACACATTTATATACTCCGTGTTTCTTCTCGGCGAAGGAATATCTGAGCCAACAATTTGCAGCCTGACCCAATTACAGGCGTCAGGGCAGAAATCCATCTCCTCTGTAATTTTCACCTGAACCCATTTGCTGCCCTTCGTCCATTTTTCTTCTCCATTTTCTGAGAAATAAGCTAGATGGGGCAACAACAATCAAAAGACGAACTTCTGTATCAGCAAGTCAATTACGGCAATATTGAAGGTATCAAAACTCTTCGCAGCGATGGCGCTGGCCTCGAGGTATATACAATTGTCTGAGTCTATGCGGCTGATGCTGCTTTCTTGTTTAGTTGTCATGATTTTGTCTGAAATGGTTAAATGAGTTTATAAGTATATCCCACATCAGGATCCACAGGATCCATATTTAACCCGTTGACTTATGTCTTGAATGCGATGACACTCAATTTCTGGGACGCGTAAGGGGGATTCATATACTTACTAAATTGTTATAAACAGTGAAGTTGTTCTTGATAATTCAAAGTTAGAAAATTTAACTTTAAATCCGTTTGGTTTGCTTAAATGACTTATTGGGAAATGCTTCAGTTACTATATAAGGAGACAAGGAGTTCTAGCTGCGCTGCTAATCTGCTAGTGTGTATGTTCTACTAAAAGAAAGATGTAGTCTTAGCTTATATTGATGGACTGCACTTTTGGTTATCAGTGGGTTGATAAGGAAGGAAAGACTCCCCTGATTTTGGCTTGCATGAACCCCCAGCTTTATAATGTTGCAAGTACTTTGATCGAGTTGGGTGCAAATGTAAATGCTTACCGTGCAGGTAATGTGCCCGGGCATCTTGCATTACTACACAACTTTTGTACCTTTTTTTCATTACATTCTAGCTTCTTCACTATAGAATGGGAAGGAGAGGACACATATTTATATACGTAGTAGTTCATATGAGGGTGAAAATGAAAAATAATGGGAATTATATCGATTCTGTGGATGGTCCCAAATTATGCAAATTTCACATTACTGACCTATTCGTAGAAGCGGGCATTGCTGTGTTACACCCACACGTGAGATCATTCTTTTCCTTACTCGTCTTGTTGTCTTGCTATATGAACTTTGGATCAAGGATGAATTTGAATGACGTATAAATAAGTATGTTTAAAAGGGGCATTTAGAATAGTGAAACAAAGTTGTGTTTCTAAGGAAGTATTTAACGGATGTTAATGTTAATTGCCAGATTACTAGAATACTAGTAACAATAATTGTTATTGACATTGCTGTTATTGTTGTTCTTTTATTTTTATTATTATTAGTGTTATTATTATTATTATTATTATGCTTATTATTGTTATAATTATTTTGTTTCACCCTGTCCTTTGTAGATTTTAGGAACACATGTTGTGTAGCAACTAGCCATAAGTGCCAATTTGGTTCATTTTCTTTTAGCTGGTTATATGGATGATGGCTCAACTGCTTCAACATAACTAAAGGGCTAAATGTTAAGCATGACTTAAAAACTCATAAAATTTAAGATAGTTCAATATGTATACAATCCATGGAAGAGTATTTAAAAAGTACTTGAGATCCTTGCAATTAGTAGTGCCCCTGCAAAGGTCCCATTCTTTCAAAATGGAAGACGTGACATGAACTGAGTACACCTGGGCCATAGTGGTCTATTTAATCGAGGTCTTTCATTTTGAGCTTTAGAAGTTTTGAAAATGGGTAACTGGTTTATATATTTGAACTGCAGCCTTTAACTTTATACATTAAATCTATTCATACCATGTTTGTGTATATGTTTAATTGAATTTTTTTTTTACTCCAGGGGGTCTGGGAGAGGGGGGCTGGGGGGCTGGAGTAATCAGGGCTGAAACTCACTCCATTGATTTTCAAACCCTTATGTGCCTAGCGGGTTTCGAACTCGAGACCTCCCACTAGGCACGATAACCTCTCAACCAGCTGGGCTGGAATGCTTGGTTGTGTATATGTTTAATTGATATTTGAAAACTTCATTAATTTTTTTAAAAGTTTAGAAATTTAAAACTATCTTATCTATTGAGGAGCCTCAGGTTCGGCTTGTAGTAAAAAGGGATTGAGTCCGACCTGGCAACTTATTAGGTCAGTTAGACAGAGTCTAAACTGGTGGTATGATCTGCATCACTCCAAAATGAATGACCTGTTAGAATGGGTAAACACACCAATTCATCAACCATATAAATATAAGAAATTGCTCAAATTGGGAGAAAAACATTTGCAAAATTCTAAAATAGGACTAAGTATGTTTTCTTCTCAAACTAGGATGTATTTAGTCCTACTAAAAGAATAAAAGCTTCACTAAATAAGAGTCTATGAGTCATATTTTGGGAAGAAAACAGTGTTACTCCTATTTGAGAATAAATGCTACTACACATGTTTTACTTCTATTTAGGGAATTTTCTAAATGTAAGAAATTGCAAGACCAATTTGATACTTCCAAAACTCCGAACACATTTTATTTATGTTCTGACAGTTGACACACCAAAGACTAATTATCGGAATATATTTTGAAGTTGGGTTTTTAGGTTGATCTCTCTTGCTTAAACTCCTTTACTAATAATATATATATATATATATATATATATATATATATAGATGTGTGTGTGTGTGTGTGTGTTTGTAATATTGTATAATCAATTTGAGAGTTTTGGTGTAAATGAAGTGCAGTGCCCTAAGTTTCCTTGCTTTGTTCTAGGCCGCCATGCTGGTACTCCCTTACACCATGCAGCAAAAAGAGGTCTTGAAAAGACTATCAATTTACTTCTTTCACATGGAGGTATGTACTAAGAACTGCATGTCTTTCTTCAGTATTTAAGGAAAATACATTTGGATAACTGTTATTTGTATGGTTTTAGCAAATGCTTTGGTGATAAATGACGACTGCCAAACTCCACTGGATGTTGCTAGGGTCAAGGGGTTTAGCAATGTTGTAAGAGCAATTGAGGTATCTTTTTGCATCTTGTGGTTTAGGTTGCTCACTTGTTACTTATTATCTAATCATTGCATTTTCTTTCTCATACACTAATGCACTATACTTATTGATCGGTTTATTATTGTCCAGAGCCATATTTGTTTGTTCTCTGGTTGGCTAAGGGAGCTTTATGGGCCAGAATTTCTTGATCTGCTTGTACCAAAATTGCTTTGGAAAAAAGTGTGGGTACATTACTTGTGATTTCCTTTAAATTAGGGCGGCCTCAAATTTCTTTGTATGTCTATTAGTTTTGTTTCTTGCTGTACATCCTTGCACTATAGCAATGGAGTTAGTAACATTTATTTATCAAGCATGCCTGGTTTCACGTGGAAACAAAATGAAGAGCTATAATTTTTCAAGATTGTGTACTATAGAGGCTCATTTGCTTGGATTACCTTATTTTTTATTTTATGCCATCTTATAATTTAGCTTAACGTTTGTTTTTTCTTCTTATAACGTGTTGACTTTTTATTTATCAGTAAGTACTGAAATGTTTGTATTCTAATAACTTTTTCAGTTGGGTAGTTGTGTTACCCTGTGCTTCCCGAAGGCAAAATAACCCTTTCAAGTGGGAGCTTGCTGTGTATGGAAGCCAACAGGTATGTTAAAGTACAATTTCTCAAATTGTGCTAAGAGAAAGATTTGCACGTTCACTCATTTGTTTTTCTTGAAATTAAATTACGTTTCATCTATGTAATAATGCTCTTCTGCATAACAATTAAGGGTAATATATAGGATCGGTTCACTTGGACTTATTTCACTCTCATACAAAACCAAACCAGACTTGCATACTCTAGGTTGGATCAGGCTTACACAGATCACATCAACAACCATTAAATCCAGGGGCTTAGGCAGGAGTAAGAGTTGGGCTGGGCCGGTACAAAGAATTTTTACAGATAAATTTTTACACATAAATTTTTACATTAAAAATATAATCAATTTTAAAATTTGGGTTGGGCCGGGGCCCGGTTGGCCACCCCTCCACCTCCGCCCCTATTTAAATCATAATGAAGTACTCATAAAATCAAACCATAACAGACTCAAATAGATGAAGGTCCTACAGTTATCCATCGTTGATGTTTTTCTTGGCTATTATGCAATGGGTATTACTTGGGCATTTCAATAGGATTTTTCTTCTTACAATGAAGCTATAATATGGCTCTCATATCTTCAACTTTTCCTTTCCCTACTCTTTGACTAGGATGCTCAACCCCGAACAGTTGTTGCACTATGGAAGGCCAATTTGGAAGAACCCAATTTTAGTCACTCTGTTCCAGCAGTAGTCATATCAGATATTTCAACTAGTAATTCACTATCAATAAGCATTTCAATTCGAACTACATATTTATATATATCAATCTTCATAGATGATTGTTTCCTGATTTCATGCATAGTACCAAGGTGCTGGAGGCGAAGGAGAGGGATTATGTCCTCTCAACTGCCGAGGCATGGGCCTCGAGGAGCTAGGCGTAAGTACTGTTAATTGTGATTAGCTAAACCCGAATGCATTGAGGGGCTAGATGACCTCATAGGAATTCAGATTGTTAGGAAAGTTCTTAGTTTCTTACGTCAATCGTATCTCTATATGAAAGATTTGTTAGAAACTTTACTAGAAGGATGAAATTAGACTACTGATCTTCTCCTTGGGGTCAAAGAATGTGATTCTATGTGATTGCTTGATTACTATTTAAGTTTCTCACTCACTATTTCCTAGTTCCTTCAAACACAATCCCACCTGTTCAGATTAAGTGATGAAGTGATTCTCGATATTAGATCATACATATTGAGCTTATGCTAGTTATTTTGGATCCCCAAATATGGAAATTAAATTCCTTAAGGTGGATAGTGCTTTTGAATAATCTTCCTTTTTTTATATCAATATCCGCTTTTACATTTACCACACCATGCTAAGACTTGAATTTAATGGTTCATTTATAAGCCTGAAATCATATTCTCAATTGTACAGTCCATTATTCTGAGCATGAATTTGATCAATAGAGCCACAAGATTTGATTCATGTGTTTCATTGCAGAAGTACGGGTTAAGCTCACAGCTGTAGAAGAAAGTGACAAGCAACTGCTGCACTCATTTTGGAATGCATGCAAGGGAATTCCGCAGGTGAAATCTCAATCATATTATCTATAGACGTTCTGGAACCTCTGGTCTTATTATGAATTTTAAATGCAACTGTACATCTGTGAATCATGTTGCACCCTTGTACGTTGAGAATGCGAGACTTGTTATCAAGACTTGAAGTTTCCTTTTAATAAGTCAACTTGATAACCTCTGGTCTTATTATAAATTTTGAATGCCACTATACATCTGTGAATCATGTTGCGCCCTGGTACGTTGAGAATGTGAGACATGTTATCAATATTTGAAGTTGCATTTTAATAAGTCAACTTGATAGGAGTAGTAGTCCAAGGCATTATGCGCGAGTTCGTATATTTATCTTTGGCCGGTATGAGATGCCGTAACATTTTTTCACAAAATGGTGTCTTGTTTCTGCAGATTAATTTTGAAATCGTTTTCATTTTTAGTCTTAGTCAGATCAATTGCTTCTCTAAGTTTAATCATAAACAAAATAATATATGCGTGAGTTTGTATCTTTAGATTTGGCCGGTGTGGGATGGCAAACCCTTTTACCATTCCCAGATCAATGTATTAGGAAACACGGACATGCACTGAAGATGGTGATTGATTTTGTTATGCACAATGTGGGGTTGGATATCTCTAATAACAACTTTTCAGTTCAGGTCTCTCCCCAAGCACTTCAACTCAACATCCAGCTCCCTGTTCTTCCTGCAACCGCCCCACCTGCCTTGGAGGATGTGGAGTTGGCTATGGCGATTAGCGCCTCCATGCAGCCTGTTGTGCAAAGGCCCTCTTTATACGCGAACTCGGAATCTGGAGCAACTGCTTCTACAAGTTGGACCAACCCTGATGTAGTAAAAGCTGGTCCAAGCGGCAGCCAGATTCAGCATAGCCTGACCCCAATAGAGACATCTGTAATCCAAACAAAAGTTGAGAACCCTATTCCAGAACCCACCCCATCAGCTCCTATCATAGCAGAGGAGGAAACAGATGAAGGTCCAATTCATTATCCATCACTAGATGTTAGCCCTGTTGGATTTTCTTGTCAAAATGATGAGAATATAACTGCTGCACCACATAAAGACAAAGATCAAGCTGATGCTACTTGTGTTATATGCTTGGATGCTCCCGTGGAGGGAGCTTGTGTCCCATGTGGCCATATGGCTGGCTGCATGTCTTGTTTGGCTGATATTAAAGCAAAAAGGTGGGGATGCCCTGTCTGTCGTGCCAAGATTGATCAAGTTATAAAGCTGTATGCTGTATGACAATTTCAAGCCGAGAGAATGTGTTGTATGTGGTAAGTGACTTTTTACTATCCTAAGTAAGAAACATACCAAATAGATTTTCTTATCAAAATCCTTTATTGGGCCCTTTAGGCCATGCTGAGCGCTTGCAGTCATAGAGCCAACCAGGCCCTCACCTACCTATTAAGGATGTTTTTACTTGGACTGTAATTTGCTGGTCTTGTCTGATCTGGTCTGGTTTCTTTGTATTTTTATAACTATCCAAGTCTGGTCTGGTCTGGGAGGAGTTACAGTCCAAGTAAAAACATCCTAACTGTCAACCTTTTGCTCAATGGACCCAATGTATTTTTATTTTGTATTTATATTTAGTACGGAGTATCTTACATTGTATATATCATATGTTTTCAATTTCATATTGTGTTTTTTGTATCATTTATATTATATTAGATATTTAATTTTATATTATCTATTTTCCCTTACATTTTTATATTGGGAAATTACCCTAAGTAGGAGTAAATGAGGTTTGGAATTCCAAAATATGACTAGTATGTTTGTCTTCCCGAAATAGGAGTTTTTACTACCATGTATGAAAAATACTGCCATAATTAAAAAATATTGCCATTAATTATTATAAATACTGTCATGTTAAATGCACTGTACTGCAACTATTTGACAGTCATGTAAATACCGTCATGTTAGTCCTATTTCGGGAATAAAAACATTGTAATCCTATTTTGAAATTTCAAACTCCATCACTCATATTTTAGGAAATCTCCCTTGTGTATTTTATAGTTCTATACTTAATTATTTATTTCTATTTTATACTCCCTTTGCCATCTTTGACTTTTTCAAATCAATGGTGGTAAACTTTGGACAATAATTTTGATTAGTATAATTTTATAAAAGTTATAAATTTTAAACTTTTATGAAAGTATTTTCAATAATAACATTTCCGTATCATTTTTATATTATAAATAACATCCTATAAAAATATATCATTGGTCAAAGTTTTAAGGGATTGAGGATTTACTTTATAGTTTAAAACCTCCCGATAGATGAAATTTAAAATTTTAAAATAAAAATCTAAAATCTGAAACTTGAGACTTAAAGTAATTATAAGGGGGGATTTGACTTTGCATCCCACATTTTGGGTGATATTTGACTTTGCACCCTATTTTGAAAAGACTTGGATTTTGCACCCCAACACATAACATTTTGTGAGAAAAATTTATGAATGTGTGCAAAGTCAAATGATTTTTAAGTGGAATGGGGTGCAAAATCAAAGATTTTTGAAAATGGGGTGCAAAGTCCCATAACACCCAAAAAGTGGGGTGCAAAGTCAAATTCCCCCTAATAATAAAATATACCATATGTGTCCCACTAACATGAGGATATGAGGATGTGGTGCAGTTAATAAGAAGAGTTATTGCCCTAAATAGGACTATATTGTTGCTGAAATTCCTAAATGGGAGTAGCTATAATTTTATTCCCTAAATAGGAGTATTATTCCAATTTTACCCTCTTCTATGCGGATCGGCCCTCTCTTCTACGTGCATCTGCTCCCTTCTCCTCACCTTCTCCAGACACATCTTCTCTTCCCATGCTACGCACCTTCTCCAGACAAATAAACTCCTTTCCATTCCTAATTTCTTCTCCCACATCAACTACTCTTCTTTGATCTACTCACATCACAGGTTGCTAGATGATGTGCCTTTTCTTCGCTCATCTCCTTCGGTGGAAAACCTGCAACAGTGAGCTTCCCGATGCGGCTAGCAGCAACGAACAACAGAGGCGGGCAGAGGCGCAGAGCCAAGCAACGAGTGAGTGAGTAGCAAGTCGAGATCTATAGCCGGAGTATCTTCCCCTCCTTCCTCCTCCTCCTCTCACGTGTTTCTCTCTTCCCCTCTTTTGTTTCATCGCATGTATGTGCTCTATTTCTTCTTTGGTGTGACTCTATTTCTTCTTTGATGTTTCAGATTGCCAAATTTTACTCTGAAATGCCATTAAAATGGCATTTTTACACTTCATTTTTTTTTTGTAATTTCTTTCGAAAATGCCATTAAGATGGCATTCTTGATTCATTTTGGCATTCTCAGAAAAATGTTGAAATTTAGCGGCAGGGTCGGTCCGATCTGCGGTGGCGAAGGCAGGACATCCAACGGCGGCAGTCAGATTTGCATGACGGATGCGTCCAGTTCTGAGGAGGAGGCGGCGACTGGCGACCGTTGACCGGCAGCGATCGGCGGTAGTTTGGGTTCTGTAAACCGCAGTCCTTTTTCTAGGGCTCCAGGGGTGTTTCTGTCTAACAATAGATAATAACTCCCATTTAGGTAATTTTTAAAGATTAGTCCTATTTTGACAATTTAGGATTTATTTAGTCTTATTTACGTAAATCTCCCTAATAAGAAAAGTGGGTTGATGCGATGGATATTGAATTTATAAAGTAAGAATAAAGTAAAAATAATTTAGAACCACATAAACTTTACCAAATTTGATATGAGACAATTTTAGTGGGACGGACCGAAAATGAAAGAGGAAACCATCTTAATGGGGCAGAGGGAGTAGAATATTAATACAACAACAACATTCAAGCCGTAATTCCAAAAGATTTTAGGGTCGGCTAACATGACTCGATACATGATATCAGAACTTAAAGGATAAGAAAGATAAAAAAGACAAGCTATGATAAAAAATAATATAAAAAGAGATAGGATATACATAAAAATGATAGAATAAAAAGGAAAAAATTTAAATATTAATATAAAAAAGAATAGAATATTAATATTAAAAAAATATAAAATGTCTATATAGAATATAAATATAAAATATTACAGTATTAAGTATTCATATGCGTAGTAGGTTATATTTATACTCCCTCCATCCCACAAAAGTTTGACAACTTTCCGATTTAGCTTGTTGAAGAAAATTTGTCATTTCCATTTAAATTAAAAAACGTGTTTAAAGTTATTTCTATCACCTATGCACAAAATCTTAATCACACAGTTTTTACTTTCTTATTCCAAGTGCAAGTCAATTTTTGCCATGCTTTAGGGTACACAAAGAGTTTTTTTAATATACCGCAAAATAAAAATACTTTCGACTTATACTTTCCTTATCAATATTCATAATTTTAATTGCCTGTTTATTTTTTAATTATATTTTATATTTTGAGTTCAGTGCAATGTTGACATTTTTAGGAATGAGGGGTGAATTGAACAATTTGGATGAGTGTGAGGGCTTGTTTGAGCCTTTAGCCTTTAGTCTTTCACTTTATCAATTAATATGGCGGGTAAACGGTAGTTTGTGTAAAACAAAGAATTTGAAAATCTTATTAAAGAACTCAGGATGTGAATAGGACTTTTTGTGAGTTCAAGAGCTGAATTGAGCAATCGGGGCGCGTATAGGGGGCCTATTTTACCCTTTAACCCACAAAAAGATGCGAGGTAAATCAATGTCTACTTTATTTGGAGGTATATATAACATTCTTCTTTTTTCTTTACAGGAGAATATGGTGCTGGCTAGTTCTTTGAAGATACATGGGAGACCCACTGTTCTCCAACCTATTTACCTTTTATATGATGTCGGTGTTCTGCCTACATGCAGCATCATTGTGCCGTATACCACATTGGATGTGAAACGTATTGTGATTCAAATAATTCAATGCTATCTCAGTTTTTGATCTATACTAGTACTGTCCAAGACTCCAAGGGAGTGACCTATTAAGAGAGGCATGAAGAAAGTATTGGTGATGTAATGTAAACTTTGTGCATGTGTAAGTAGTTTTTTCTTAAATATAGATGATTTGAAATGTGTGCTTTACAAATGTTTGATTTTGAAATGTTTTTTATGAATAGAATAGTTGGATAATACTCTGTAAGAACTGTACTAGCAGCTTGGATATTTAGTGGGTGTAAACGCAGAACTTTGGGTATTGTATGATGCAGAAATGCATAATAAAAACTTCGCCAGTGATGTGTATGAATTGTAAAGTATACCCTCTTTGGTTTGTTTTTCAAATAAAAATTTTACTCCCTCCGTCCCGAAATAATTGTCCCGCTTTCCTTTTCGATCCGCCCCGAAATAATTGTCTCTTTTCCTTATTTGGTAAAACAAATCTATACAAAACAATGTCAAACAGTGTCAAACACTGTCGCTACATTGCCAAACAGTGTCGCTACGGTGTGAAGTCAGCTTCACTTTCTTAATCTGTGTGAAGTTCAAATCAGGATGATTATTTCAGGACGGAGGTAGTAGAAGACTTGAACATCAGTTTACAAAGGTGTAATGTGACAAATGATTTGCATAGCAGATTGTGTATGCTGCTAACTAGCAAAGGTGAATTTTGTTGGTCATTTTGACCTGGTGATACCATTAACATGTGAAGTAAGAATGTAAGATGTTTGATAACTTAATTACTCACATTAGCTCATAATTAACATATAAAGTGATCAGTAAAGACATGATATAAATGTTTAAATATTTAATTGAGAAAATTATCACGTGTATAACTAAAAGACTCCATCTTTCCCCATCTATGACCACATCAACGTTTATCCTTATTTTATGATTCACATGCTACATGTCCATCTACGTGTTTTTTTTATTTTTATTCTAATCCCACAAGTGCCCTCCTTTGGTTAAATGAATCAACGCTATTTCATCCTAAAAAACAGGAGTTGATTACATGACATGCGCACGTATTGGAATAACCGTTTAGAAACTCCACCGGTTACATAATTGAATTAAATGAATAAGGAAACTCACCGTTTAGAGACTCCACCGGCTAAATAACACTTCAATTAATTTAATACAAGGAAGAGATCCCTACAAAGAAACTATTTCCATTACTTATTCACAATTTTTATGCGTTACACGTTTCTATTCATCAAGCGGAATTAAATCTTCTTCATCGACTCTATTCTCCAATTCGCATTACACCCGGTTGACTGATGTGGATATGTTACCCGGAGATGTGGATAATGATTAAATATGATGGCCAATGGGTGTCAGATACTTTGTTCTCTAGTATTCACGTTGCCGGTTTAACTATACCTTCAAATTGTACGTATGATTCTCTATATTCTCGTGTTTGCGCTGCTATGGGTGAGAATTATGCCGGGAAGAATATTAAGATTTCATACGTTTTTACTACCTGCCCACCTCCCGTTAATGTATGTGATGACAATGGTCTACACTTTTATCTACAATTGAAGAGTTTTCAAAAGGACCCGATGCAAATGCCGTTGTGTGTTGAATTTGTATGTGATGCTACGACTGGAGAGGAACAAAGCACCACAGTATGTGATGATATCCACAATTCAAGTGGAATTAACCACCCGAGTAATCCGGAAGAGTTTGGTGACTTTAGTGAACAAGACAATAATTTCAGTCACAATATTTGTATGGACATTGAATTTGACCATATTTCGAGTGCTGAAATTATGAGCTTAAATTCTCAGGTTGATGAAGAGATTCATAATATGCATGTTCTCAACCATTCTGAACCCACACACATTGCATTGAATAGCATCTATGGAAGCAAGAAGGAACTTGATTTTCACTTAAAGATGTATGCGATTACCAACTTCTTTCAGTATAGAACAAAGACATCTTGCCCGAAGGTTTTGCATGTTGTGTGTGTTGACCCTGACTGCAAGTGGGCTGTGCGTGGTGTGTGCATTGACGGAGTGTCATTGTTTCAAGTGAAAAGGTATGCAGTCATTTCTCCAAGTTACATGACATGCATGTCTATTACTGCCCTAACGTGTATTATTAAAAAACAAATATTTGAATTGTCCACGGTATGCAAAATCAATGGCCTTATGATGTTCTTTTGTTGTGTCACTGTTTTGTTGTTTTAAAAAAAATGTATAAGGAAAATGAAATCAGTATTGTAAGTCGGACATATGCTTTCATGCCCTGTACTCAGCTCTTACAATGCCCTGCGTTTGCAGTAAGTTACGTTCATAGGCTGCAATGCCCTTGCGTTTGCATTATAAATTTGATTGTATGCTAAGAGTATTCTTTTAACGACATGTTTAATTCACTCTGTGCATTTACATTTAATACAATATAATGCTTGAAAGTTTACTTAATGCCACATCGCACAATGCACCGTGTGCTATATTTTTAATGCCCTCTTTGCACTACTATATTATTATGTACGCTATTCATATGATTTTTCAGTATATTGCCTAATTATATCAACATATTCCCAAAAAAATTTCTTTACTTGTTACAGTTTGTTCTCGTCATACATGTTGTGTCCCCCCCTCCCCCTAAAATTTTCCATAAATTGCTTCACTGCCCATAAATTAATGCCCGTCATTAAACATTTTTTCCAGATTTGACTCTGAGCACACATGCCCCATTGATGTACGTCAACGAAATAGCCGTCAGGCTACGTCCAGGATTATTTCCGAACTTATCAAACATGAGTACGGTGATGCATCCAATAAGCCATACCCTCCAAAATCAATTATGCTTGATATGCAGACCAAATACGACATTTACATGTCATACAAAAAAGCATGGATTGCCAAAGAATTGGCAATGGAACTGGCTATGGGATCTGAAAAGGATTCATATGCACGCTTACCTTCAATGTGCCATGTGCTTGAAAGGAGTAACCCAGGTTCTATAGTTTCTTATTCGTGCAAGGAAAATGGTGAATTTCATAATTTTTTCATGTGCCTTTCTGCATGGAGGGAAGGTTGGATTAATTGCATTCCGGTTATAATTGTGGATGGGTCTTTTTTGAAGTCGTATTATAAGGGTACATTACTCACTGCATGTACACAAGATGCAAACAAACAAATATTTCCATTGGCATTCGGTATTTGTAGTGGAGAAAATACTGAAAATTGGTCATGGTTCTTCAGCATGTTGAAGCATTCGCTAATGCATAGGGATAATCTATATATTGTTTCTGATCGGCATGAGGGCATTATTACATCTGTGCGTTCTGTATTTCCTCATGCGGAGCATGGTTACTGTGTGTACCACATATTGGCTAATTTGAAAACAAGATTTCGTGGCACTCAAAAAACTGTATCATGGAAGTTTTTGCAGGCTGCTCGTGCTGGATCTGTGTATGAGTGTGAAGAGTACCTTCAAATGCTGGATAGTGAGGATCCACGCATTCGTACGTATTTAGAGCGGATGGGCCACCACAAATGGTCTCGTGCTTATGCTAGTCGAAATCGGTACTCGGTCATGATGTCAAACAATGCGGAGTCATTAAATGCAGTCAATGCCACTGCCCGAGAATACCCAATATGTAAGTTGATAGAGTTTATTATTGGACGAATGCAAAAGTGGTTTTGTGAACGGCGAGAATCTTCAGCATCAAACAATTGCCGTTTATCAACACACTTTGAATCTGAACTAGCAGTTTTACAAGCTATGGCAGCCGTCATGAGAGTATTGCCCTCTAATCATTGTCTTCATTGCACTGATTTTTTAAAAAATATACTAACTTCATGTGCTATTAAATTATTGTTATTCCTTCCAATATTTAATTATAGTTTTTAATGTGTAATAATAAATTGTGCAGGTAAAACCATCATGCGCTTTTGAGTTTGAGGTGTTTGATAAGAGATCCCGCTCTTATGTTGTCAACTTGAAGGAGCGGACGTGCACTTGTCGGGAATTTCAGATGGATGGGTTTTTATGTGTACATGCCGTTGCAGCTATTCGCTCTCGCCCAGGACTTTCTTGCTACGATTACATTTCAGAATTCTATACAGCACATCATTGGGAACAAACATACCGTGCTATTATTCATCCTATTGGGAGTCCGGATGGTTGGATGGTACCTTCACATGTTAAGGAAATTACTTGTCGTCCCCCATCATGTGAATCACGACCTCCTGGAAGGCCGAAGAAAAGAAGAATTCCTTCTACAGGAGAACACGTTCAAAGACAAAAATGCACTCGTTGCCTCATGGTTGGACACAATAGAAAGACTTGTAGGAATCCTATTCCACTACATATGCGTTAAAACATGTTTTTAATTATTTGTCGTTTTCATTGCAATGCACTTTGTCGTACTTTTATTCAGTCACTTTGTTATTCATTGTTAATTTAATGCTATGAATGAATGGCGCTTCGTTATTCATTGCTAATTTATTTCCTTAAATCTAATATTAGGGGTTACTGTTATGATATATTAATTATGTTATTGTCTCAATTTTCTCAGACTGAGTATCATTTCGTTAATGTACTGCCTTAAAGATATTAATTATATCTCAAACTCACATCATCAGTGGGCCTCTTACACATATGTGATGTTATGATGTTTATGTGTATGTCATGTATGAGTAACAAACGGAAATAAATTTGATACAGATTTTGGTGTTGGGAGTTACTAGGTAACACGCGACAAGTGGGGTTTGTTCAGGCCTAGCATGTATTGAAATGTTTCAGGGCAATTGCATCAGGGCATTATTATGGAAAATGATGTAGGCCATAATGTGCACTTGTTGCAATAGGGCATTAATCTGCGATTTCCACCCTAAGCATAATATCATAAACATAAAAGAAAACTACTGCCCTCATTGAACACAACACAAAATCATGGTACTTATAAATTTGACATCCAACCTCTAACATTTAAATTGTTCTAACAACATCCACCATTCCAAAATAACACATTTAAATTGTTCTAAAGAAATCCACCATTCCAAAACAAAACATTACAGCACTGTAATCGTAACATAACAATCTTGGTTCATCAGTTTTTCAAGCTTAAGCCTTTATAATACCGAACTGTACTAGCAGCTCAGTAGTCATCTTGATTCGGTATGCATTCATATCTTCTGGTCTCACGAACTCAACATTTATACCCATCATCAAATACTCGGCCATCTTCAAGACAAACATTCCACAACTATCACTGTCCACCAAAAAACAAAATGCTTACTTCATGATTTCACACTCATTTGGCATTATAACACTTGCATATTTACTGTAATCGCTAAATACGTAACTGTCCTTTTGTTGTGGGCATTCATTCACCATCTGTATTTGCAAGAATTCTTCACCCAT